ACTGAATCCTTAAAAAATAAACAGTGTTTGTTTCACAAAACCCTCAACCACATACTGTCAGAATTCACCTACATGCACATCAAAACATGCAGAAGAAAACTCAAACAGATGTTCTGATTTGCTTATGCTGGTAGACTACAGGGAAGTTGCACTTCCTTCTCTTTCGTTCGCTGTCATATTAGCCTTTGTCTATTCTTTAAGCTTTTACTTTACATTTCATATCCTTTCTTCTTCTCTCCCCGTCTCAAATGTATTTCCCCCATTGTCTCTTTTCAGAATGTAATGCTGTAATGTGATTTAGGTTTTTCATGCAAAAAAATAGACATTTGGTAACCGCACCCTGTGCTTTTTTGACGCTTAGCCTCTTGTGGCGGAATAAGCCGCATAAAAACCCAACCCTTTTCTTTGTCTGCTGTGAAGTGAAATAAAAAGCGAGGAGCAGAGAACAACCGAAAGATAATACGTGACAGAAAGGAAATAAAACATGGGGGGTTTATCGGTGTAGAAATGAAGAGGCACAATTTAAAATGATTTCTTCTCCATCTTGAAATGCCTAGGTGTCAGTTGACGACTTACCGGATGATTTATAATAAATCATTTATAATATGTGTGTCATTCTGAGGATATGTGTAATTGTTCATGTGCGCGCTACTCTGACATTTTGATGTGTGTGTGATAGGTCAATGAGACCTTTAAACCATCGCTGTTTAAGACAACATCGTCTTTAGCAGTCCGTGCACATGCACACTATGGAAACAACTTCTCATCGCACAGGGCTCAGAGAGATGTACAGGGAGCCACTGACACCAGAGTGGGCTCTCTCTTAACTGTAAATCATTTTCAATCACATTCAGCAATGGTTAAATGGGCTTTTGAAGGCCACTGTAATTCTTCTTATTTAGTCCCTCATATCCAAGAGACGGCTAATGGTCAAGATTTAACTTCCATGACACACTGCAATTGCCATTATCTTGATTAGACGAGATCAGGTGCAAAAGGACAGATTGTAGAAGGATGGACGGAAGTAAAATCATTGAAATATTTAAAGCTTTAAAGGACCAATGCAAGTTTGAAATTAAATGATGGTTGAGAATAACGAATAATGAGTCTTTGCATTAGCCATTGATGAATGGAGACAATTACCTTTACTAATATGTCTTGTATAGTATGGTACCACTCCAGATTATTATTATTTATTTATTTTAAATACTGTATGCACTCTTCAACGTCCAATCAGTTCCACGTTGTGCTCCTTTTGTAATAAGCTGCCTTCAATACAATCTAACAATGCAAGCATACTAAGAAAAAGGAGATGTGTACATCTTTAAAACAATGTAAGATTTTGCATGAAGGAAGGGTTATATTTCACTGAAAGCTCAACTCAGGGAACAATAACATACAGTTTAAATAGTGTAATTGAAAAGTGCATTTGGGAGTGAAGCCTGGTGAATTTGGCATACCCTTGTTTTAACAGTATGTAAAAACAAGCTTAAATTATGTTAAAAGAAACATAAAAATGAAATGTGAGAAAATGTGACTAAAATCTCTTCTACAAGTCTGAAGTTATCCTTGCAGTTGAGGTAAATAAAGACCCTATGAAATATGTGAACTAAGGTTGCATATCCCTTTTACACATGACCTGAGTTTCATCCGGCCATGAACAGTTCAGCAGTATAAAATATGTATTACTAACACCAGGTAGTGTGCCAGAGAAAGTGATCATGTGTTAGGTGTGGAAAGTGAATACAACACTTTGATGAGGGATTCACTTCCTGAGGCAAATGTCAAGATTTAGTTGTTTCTCATTAAAACATGATCACCTTTTTCGAGACCTTACAATATTGTGTTTTGTTCTCTAACTTTAATCTGCTTATTACAGCGTTATCTAACAAAGCTTTGACACCATGACCCAAACTAAATGAAGTAATTAGTTCTCTTGTCATATCATGTCATTTGTGGCACAGTCACAAAGTCTTGCACATTCTGTATTCTTAATCAGTGTTTGGATGTCCCCTTTTTCTCTTGTGTCCAACGGCATTTATCTTTCCTTTTCCCGCCATCCCACTCCATACAGTATGTTGCTTCATCCATGGTTTTGAATATATTTGTGATGTGCACATGAGCTTAATCTCACACGTGGAAACTCTCTACTTGGTTGGGTGTATATCAGAGAAAACACAAGAGCCTTAATTAAAAAAGGAAAACTTTGCCACACTTAGCTGCACAAAGATGGGCAGCAATATTAGATGCATACATCTTAATGTATAGGAGCAATTATGAATACAGATGTGTGTGTGTGTGTGTGTGTGTGTGTGTGTGTGTGTGTGTGTGTGTGTGTGTGTGTACGTACATCCCATAATGACTTACAAAGTAAATGTATTCATGTTCAACATAAGAACGATGACTGAACATAACAGTACACAGAATTGTTCTGGACAAAAAGTGTGTGTGTGTGAGTGACAAGAGCTATAGTCAGAGCTCTGCTGTCTTCATGCTGTATGATTGGTGTTTAGCTAGGGTATTTAGCGTCC